GCAACAATGGGTTAACCACTCTTGGCAACCTTTAGGATTTTTCTTGAGACGGTTGCTAGGCGCTGAATCTAGGTACAGCACTGTCGGTAGGGAACTCCTAGCTATGTATTATGCTGTATGGCATTTCCAACATTCTATCGAAGGGAGAGAATTCAAGCTTTTTACTGATCATGAACCTCTTACCTTCTCTTTAAGCTCATCCTCAGACAAGTGCTTGCCTCGAGAGTCTCGACAACTGGACTACATTTTGCAGTTTACCCCAGATAAACAACACATTTCTGGAGCAAATAATTTAGTTGCAGACGCCTTGTCTCGAATAAGTTCCTTGAACAGTTTCCAGGGAATCGACCTTCTTAAACTCGCTCAGCTTCAAAAAGAAGACATTGATATTCAGCACGAGTTATCCTCGACAACCTTAAAACTGCGTATTAAACAGATGTGAACAGGTAAGGAAACCTTACTATGTGACACATTTACAGGTAGTGATAGCCCAATCGTACCAAAACATTATCGACGCAACGTCTTCAATGCGTTGCACAATCTTTTTCATTCAGGTGCTCGTGCATCCATCAAGCTTATAGCCGAACAGTTTTGCTGGCCTGGTATGAATAAAGGCGTGAGGGAGTGGGCACGATCCTGTGTAAGCTGCCAGAAATCTAAAGTCATTAGACACAACGAATGTCCCTTAGGCGCTTTCAAAACCCCTGATGCTCGTTTCGACCATGTTCATCTGGATTTGGCAGGAACATTACCAGATTCAAATGGATACTCTTATCTTTTAGCCTGCGTAGACCGTTTCACACGATGGCCAGAAGCAGTACCTATTAAGGACATTACTGCTGAAACAGTGGCTTGCGCTTTTGTCGAACGATGGGTAGCAAACTTTGGCTGCCCTTCAACCATCACTACAGACCACGGACGCCAGTTCGAATCTGGACTTTTCCGTTGTCTGACTCCACTATTAGGAATCACTCGTTTCCGAACGACCGCCTACCACCCACAAGCAAACGGTTTGGTAGAACGTTTTCATCGACAACTAAAAGCTTCACTATCAGCTACAAACGTTTCAAAGTGGACAGACGCTCTTCCACTCATCTTACTAGGTATCCGCAATGCAGTGAAGGCTGACGTGGGATACACCGCATCTCCACTCGTTTATGGAACAACACTCCGACTTCCAGGAGAATTCGTGGATCCTTCGTCTTCTTCATTGAACATGGATCTAAACTCTTACGCGAGCAGGCTTACAAACGTAATGCGTTCAGTTAAACCTGCTTACAAAAATTTCCCTCATTATATGAAAATAATTTTCCATCTGAAATAAAATGCCTCATATTTCACTGCTATAAGCAAAGTTCAATTACGTTGAACTTCGGTGTGAAGTATTGCTTGTTGCAGGTAGTTTGTGTGGTGCTTGCTCTGATTCGGATCTAGATGATTTTATTGTTGTTTATTTCTCGATATGCTCTAAAAACGCTGGTTTTACTCTGTCGATGCTAACAGTACCATGTTCACCTGCTCTTTTTACCTACCGTAACTGTTTTGCTGTCTTTTCGGACGACTTTAAAAGGGCCGTTGTAAGGAGTCTGTAAAGGCTGTCGTACTCTATCATTTCTGACAATACATGTGAACATTTGTTTTGTTCGATGGGTGCGAAAGACTTCGCCTTCTGAGTTCGTGGTTTGGCGGACCTAATGGATCCCATCAGTCGTTTAAGTTGTTGCACGCAGTTGGTTTAAGGTAGGGGTCAGGTGTCTTTTTCTGGAGTGCAGTAGGTGGTGCTACACTAACATCTGCCCCTGTGTCGACTAACAGCTGTGTTCTGGTTCTTCTGTCTGTCACATATAACAAACAACTGTCTTGTGAGTTGTGGCCGGTGACCACAGTCGTCCCTAGTTGTCGGCCTAGACGTTCTATTTGCAGTGTGCATGCAAAGTCAAAGAGAGGAATACACTTTTTAGCTTGTTTACCGAACGTTCTATGGTACCAGAAATGTTATGTCGGATAGTGCTTGAACTACGACGTGCACGACTTCTGAACCTTCCTCTACACTTGCAGTGATGGACATTCGAAAATTGGAGCTGAGCTATCTGTTTTGGTGAGGACTTCGACTGTATGTTGTAACTCGGCGATCTCGTCCGTCGAGTTCGTTTGTACGTGTGATACCGAGTGAGTCCTGGTCCTCTCAAAAATTCTATCGACTAGTCTGCCAGCTTATCAAAATCGACATGCTGGTCACCGATTGCGAGTATCTGCTGTATAATTTGAGGCAAGCGTCTGAGCCACAATTGATATAATAGACGTTTATCAACTATACGATTTCTCAAAACATTTGTCATATTGCGTTTTAATTGGGAAGATGTGCCATCACCTAGCTCTACATTGGTTAAAAGTTGATCAATTGTCTGCTGGTCACAGAGAGATGTAACAAGTATGACCTCTCTTTTTAGGCAATCGTATGGCGAGTCACGATCCGGTTTACAAATGACGTCAGGCACTTGCTCAATAACGTCATCCGGCACCAATGAATTTGCCTAGCTAAATTTCGTGTTCTGAATTGTGATTCTGTTTGTAACAATAAAGCTTTCTAGGAGTGCAAACCAGAGTTCTACCTTTCGAGGGATAAATGCAGGTAAAAGTAGAAAGATGACACCCATGCAAATAGACTTACGTGAAAGGCTTAGTGAGTTATCGACTGACATCATACAAATAAATAATAACAGTTCCAATAATAATAATCTGTGCATTGACATATACAATATGAAGACATAACGAATAACAACAATAGGAACTATATATGAGAGACTCACCGAATAATTAAAAAAAACTGTCACTTTGGGTACAAATATGCGAATAGACTGATAGAATTTCAAAGGAACAATATTATGAATGAATATATATTATGACTGTCAATGAATTGCTAATAATAATAACCGTAATATTCCAGTGTGATTGGAGAATATGCAACAGACATGTTGAGTGATGGTGCACGTTCCAACGGTGGTTCGCCAAATTCGTCAACAATGAATTCCTCTATATCTGATTCCCGTTAACTAAATATTCAATGCAGGCTAAATCTCTTAATAGAATGATGGGTTCACTCAAGATTATTTCAAATGCCTGAACATCAGTTATAGAGATAGTTTATTGTTGAAGTTTGGTAATAATCCGCAAGTGTACTGATAGCAATCACACAGGAAAAACAAGCGAGTGACTATGTGTGTGTGTGAATGTCGATGAATGATCAAGAATCTCCATATATATTGATGGGTGTTAATGGATTATGGATAATCTATTGATTGATTTTGTTTACAACCAATGAGAGAACAGAATAGAGTTCGACATACAGACACACTGCGGTCAATCAGACTCACACATTATTTTACATAGTGGATTATATGTCTAAATTGATTACTGAGTACACACAAATAATACAACAGTTGAACGGGCTTGTTACATCCTATTCAGTATTTGTCAGCTGAACATTCCTATACCACGGAGTTGATGTTCATTTTGGGACTGGAACCCAATACCATTCGCTTTAAAAGATATCGCGTTATTCACTTAGCGATATCGGGCAATAAGAGACTGATCATTTGCTATAAATCCTCTTGACGATGGTTGTAGTAGTTCTCCACGTTTCAGCTCTCTACAGTAGGACTGTCTTGAGTTTTATACTGAAGATTCTGACTACGATACATTCAAGACAAATCCCACAGAAATAAAAGGCATTAGACAGAGATTATACGATTTCAGAATTAAATGAATAATTCACAGAAATCAGGACATTGGATCGAATGGATGTACAAAGTTCAGATCAGTATTGAGTTTGTAACCATTTATCGTCACTTTAAAATGAACCTTGATCTGTTATAAAAATTATGGACTATTTTGAAGAGTACAAATCTAAATTTTCTTATTTGTATCAATGTGATCAAACTTCAACACATAATATACATAAACAAAGTATTCAGTACAACTACATCTAATGAATGAGGTTATTTTTAATCCGAATACGAACTGAGATCAAATCGTTCAACGCTACAGGTAAGCCTCAGTCATCCATGTCATTAATGTATGAATTTCTTGTCCTCAATTTTTCTTTCACTGATTCCAATCCCTCACATATCTAAATACGAAATATAAAGATGATTTCCCAATCAATATTGATTCTCACTTGTACTGTAAGTAGTATGTATCATCATTCGACAGTGAAATACCTGACAGCAGAAGGTTAAGAAGATCAAAGGAAAAAGAACGAGAACAAAGAATGATTGGCGTAGAATCGAAAAAACAATGAAGCCTGAGACGAGTGATTGACATTTTGTTGAAAGAAACAGTCAAGTATCAGACAATTGATTGACATTTTGTAAATGAGGTATTTTCTGTATGGATCTCAGATACGCTCGACTGTCCCCATTTGTGTTCTTTTTCACTACAGGAATAACCAGGTATATTCACTCTGTAGAAGTAGCTTGCATTAGGTCACGAAACATGAGAAATGTATTTTCCCTATTTAGTGGGATATAAAAAAACGTTTCTTGTTAACTCTCTACCCAATGTTCAATTTATTTGAAACTTTCAAGTAAAAATTAGCGTTTCACATCTGTAATTGGATGTAAACCAACTAATAATATGACTGTAGATAATGTTGAATCGATCAAGAACACCAGTGAGGACAAGCAAATCAGAGAACCATACACTGGATACTTCATTCGCAAAATGCCAATCAATCGTCTCACACTTTATTGCTCATTCTCTGTTCTCGTTCTCTTCTCCTCGATCTCCTTAATCTTCTGTCTCCAGGTATTTCACTTCCGAATGAAGATGTATACTACTGATATCTTAAGATATCTGTGGCACACACCACACTGAAACCCTCCTCTTTAAAGCATTTAGTTAAACGCATCTGTGATCTCGTTCACTACAGAATATTCATCAATGAATAGTTGAAATTTGCTGTTTACTTAACTGTTTATTGTAGACAAATCTTAAAAGTAATGGTTACTATTGTTGAAAATGCTGAATGGGAAGGAGTTAATGTCATGAAACCATTTGATCGTCTACGTGTTGTATCAACGTATATCAAAACAGTAAATTGTACTTTATCATTGAAAGTCATTCACAATTATAGGTGCTTATACTTGTTGCAATACAAATATCAATAACATTTGTCATCATAATGCTCTCGTCAATACCGTAAATTATTGAATCAATAATGATTGTTGTCTTTATGTAGTGAGATAACATCTGGAAATGGTCAACAACCGATTCCGTCCATTATAGCTGTCGTTTTAGGGTGTGTTATATCATTTATTTACAAATTTTTTATAATCTGTTCAATAGTTTACTTCAATATATCATGGTGATTGAATATGTTGATTAGATAATAGGGTAGATCAGACTTAGCAGAAACTGAAAAGATACTCTACATTCTCTTCAGCAACATTTACAATGAAGATCAAGTACGAAGAGATTGGAAAGTAGGACACCTTATCAAGATGTCAAAAAAAGCGATCTCAGTAAGTGTGATAACTGCATAGGCATCATTTTAAAATAAAAGATAAGATCCCTTTCTATTTCATCCAAAATTGTGACTACATATTAGGCTGTGTTGATTCTGACATATTCTGTATTGGAGAATCTTCCTGTGAGATCTTGACTCACTCCATGGAACATGTAAGTAATACAAAAAGACCTCTTGAAGAATTGAAAGATCTCAAGTTGAATCAACAATAGCAGTACATACTATCTTCAATAATCACCAAATTGCTATTAAATCTATCAAAATAATTCAGAGAGGATTTTCCAATTACAAAGTGAGGCGAGTAGCGTTGTTACTTACTCCTTATTTCCGTTACTATTTGATTGGACTTCCCAGTCTCCCACATTTTCCGAACACTCCATGTATCTATAAAAATTGCTGCTTCGATTGTTAGAAGGAACATATGCCTCGTGACTTTTGAGGAATCTCGGTTTTATTCATCAGGCATCATAACTGTTCCTTAAACTCGGAAGGGAGAATTTAAATGGTTAAAATTGTTTATTCTAGTTAGCGTTTTTTATCAAAGTTGTTTTTCACCAGATGAAGTTGCGATCCGATTCCCGAACCTCCAACTTTGACCAGATTTGAGAGCAGCAATAGCCCTAGATAAGCTACAGTCCGAGTTAAACATGTTACGTTCAACAGTTATTTTTATTTTATTTTGTAGTTTGATTGCATTGGTCATAGCACTATTGATTGTTCTCGTGAAGAAGATCAGTGAGAAATATCCACTGAATGCCATACTTGCAATTATTTATGTAAGAATTTGTAATGATCATTTCACTTACATTTGCCTATTCTCTTTCTAAAAATCTAATCGAAACAAACATACTGCTTGTAGATGGTAATTCAATGTGACTGTTTGTTATGTCATAGAAGAGGTTTGCGAAATTGGGATCCTGAATAGTTTACAGAATGATTTCACTTTTCGATTTGTCGAGAAAGATAACTTAGACGTCTCACTCATAGTCATAGTGTAGTGAACAGAACACGCGTGGAGACAATCGATTGTATTCCAACAGAAATTACAGATCATCTCACTAAAATCTGTTAACCATACTGTAAACAGTTAAATGTCAAACTGTTATTCAATTGTCCTAATCTTGACTTTTCCTTCTACAAATATCAGTCCATCATCTCTGATTACATTGTTCATGCATTCTCATACCGATTGCGCTTCGTTCCTATTCTTTCCTTATCGATCTTCTGCCACTATACATTCTATGTCTGAACATCACCATATACTATTTATATGGATATTAGTAACCAACACCACAATAGTACCTTTGTTGTAAGTTACAGAGACTATTTTGCACAATACTCAATCAGTATGAAAGTCAAAACAAATATAAATCCAATCTTGATAATCAATCCATTGCAAAGAAAGATCAGATCTGTTCACTGAACTTCATGTTTCCAATGTGTAAATGAGAGTGACTAGTCTGTTTAAGACAATCGAATCGGAAATCACATCAATTCTTGAATGCCAAAAGTGTTTCCAAAATTATACACACAATTTCCACCATGATTTCGAAGAGAACACTTTCGATAGATCAGTGAACTAGTTGTGTCAAATTTGAAATAGGCATCTTCAGCGGAAGAATTCATACATTATCAGCATTATTATACAATATAATCATATATGAATGAATATATATTCCGTTAAAATTATAATATTCCTCCTCATTTTTCAGTCTATTTTCATGGCAATGGCGATGGCAATTTGGAATATAGAGTTATCTATTCTTTACAAACTTGCAATCTTTGGAATCAGTTTGGTGTTCTTCACATCTGCATTACTGATTGGTGCAGCGATTAAAACAAATCACTTTATGATTATTCTAATATCCTTTTTGGTTATATTTATTATAACTGCGGCTATCGCGATTGCGCTGATTGTTTGGAGTTGCAAGGTATTCTAATTCACTAAATAATTTGATTCATAAATCACGTAATCATGATTGAATCTAGTTCCAAATCGTAAACTGTTAACTGTAATCTAGTTCGAATCCAACATTTCCAATTATTTGAGTTCGGAGTACAATGAATCAAAAGTCGAAAGTATTATGTTAGCTCAACTTATAAATTTCGTTTGTATGTAGTAGTATCTCCCCTGACGTAGCACAAATAGATATTACATCCACATTGGAGAATGATCTATGATCATCTCTCTGGTATAAAACTGAAGCAAAAGGGCTTACGTGAACACCCGGTCCAGTTTCGATGCCAGAAGTAATAAACAAGATTTGTATTACGTCCTTGATTTGTCAAACCACATTCCTGCTGAGGATAATTTGTCTAATGTAGGTTAAGACCTTGACGCGATAAGCAGGCTGACCTAATATTGAGGCTAGTATGTGTGAGTTCAAAGTGCGGCAGAAAGACTGCGTTATAACATTGAAGCAAAAGGTCCTACATGAACACGTAATCGACTTTACATAATGAAATGAATAGATAAGCTTTTGAAGAAACTTGGTCATATTTCTGTTGTCATCCAGAAGTACACACTGACTGAATTCTTTATAGTCATATTTGAGCATTGTTCAATGTAAATTCACTAAAACATTTTCTTGTTTTCAGTATGCAACGATCGGTGTTTACATAGACGTACAATTACTATTCTTCATTGTGAGTTACATTTATGTACATTTTCATTTATAGAATTAATCACTGTGAAGTAGAAGTAAACTGTTTCTTCTTAAATGAATTCTAAATTGCCTTCTTCAAGTGTCCACTGAAAATGACTTACATCTGATATGGTTGCATGTAAATAGAGTTCGATATTCTGAGTGATAAGTCATGAAAGGAATTATAATGACCATATACTGCACTACTGTACTTTGTTTCTCTGTCCACTGATAATGTAGTTTCTGAACACTTTACTAAGGAGTAATGGAACAGTGCAATCAAACGTTTTGGCAAATGTTCCGATTATTGTGGGAAGTAAGTAACCATGTTCATAGATAGACCAGTGAAGCCCAATCCGTATAGGGTAGAGACAGGTATCTACCTCAGACAATGGATGAATGGTTGCACAGTCATTCATGGATCTATGGAATTTAGACATTACCACAATCCGATGCTGGCTTAGTGGTCTAGAGTTTAAGCGCTCGCGTGCAAGACCGAAGGTCCTGGGTCCGAATGCCGCGTGCGGGATCGTGGATGTACACTGCTCAGCAGTCCCATACTAAAACGAAACGGTCGTCTTGTGTTTCCAGGTTTCCAGTGATGGTCTAACATCAATCGTTTCATAATCTCAATCGAAATGTATAGTGCAAACACATCACATTCTTCAGATCAACTGCGTATTACTCTATCGAAATTTATATAAAAAGGACTAATTGCTTTATATTTCAACATGGTTCAATAAAAGGTTTCCATTTTACACAAATAAAGATATGTTTATTTTTGCATTTGAAATTTCACGAAAAAAACACTCAATATTTAAACAAGAAACTTTATGCTGACCTCTTTGCAGTCACTTGATTTGTATGTGGACTGTGGTACTACTTGTGTGCCCAAACGGAAGCAGATAATTTTCTTAGGGGGCCACACTCGATGCCTTCGACTTAAAGGTTTGATCCACAAGAGAGTGGAGCATCGTGATGAGATTCAGGCCCATGGTAGCCGGCGACCGACGGTTGATTCATAAGCCATTTGTTCCCTCTGTCCACTGATAACGTAGTTTCTGAACACTTTAATAAGGAGTAATCGAACAATGTAATCAAATGTTTTGGCACATATACGTAGATGACTTCAACAATAATTAATGTCGAATGTTCCGATCAATGTGAAAATCAAATAACCATGTTCATCGATAGTGCAGGTTACCAATGACGGTCTAACACCAATCATTTCATGGTCTCAATCGAAATGTATAACTCAAATACATCACACTCTTCAGATCAACTCTGTATTCCATTCTACATGAATAAAGATATGTTTGTTTTCGCATCGTAAATCTTAAGAAACAAAACACTCAATATTTAAACAGGAAACTTTATAGTGACCTCTTTGCAGTGATTATCATTTACTTATTTATTTGAACACATAAATATTGATACAAATGGGTTTCGAATACATATGCGCCACACAAGTCACTTGATTTGTGTGTGGGCTGTGATAATACTTGGATGCTCAAACCGAAGCAGATAAATTTCTTAGGGGGCCACACCCGGAGCTTTCGACGTAAAGGTCTGATTCACAAAGCAGTGGAGAAACGTTTGGAGATGCACTTCCATGTTAGGTAGTGACACCCAATTGCTTCACGCACCGTTTGTTCCCTATGGATACCGGAGACCATGTACACCGTTGGTTTGGAATCAGGGATTTCCAATCCCCTAGGTGAAGTGTCCGTCCTCACCAACCCAGGTAAGTCACCGGACGGACATTCGCTTTTCATCCTATAAATTATTTCGTAAACAACACCCACGCCACTAGAACGCAGTGAGTAGGAGTTCCCTGATAGTGGTTGTATACGCGTGGCCATATGACAGCATTTCGAGAGAGCGGGAGAGAGAACGGACTCTCATCACCCTCTACCATATCAGGAAACTTCGGGGTGCAATGATTATTATTATTGTTATGTTTTCAAACAATCAAAGTCTAAATTGATGTGTGTTTTATTTATTTTACAGATAACAATATTTATAAGTCTTTTTACTGTTGGCAAATCAAGTTATCTTTTTTTATATTCAAATTATTCACTGGCAGCTATCATATTGTATACCATATTCTCTTCATCTTTATCAGTC